CTGTCAGAGGTATGTTCTATCCCAGATGTCTCCTTGGCAAGTGCTCAACTGCTAAACAACAAAGCGAGTCTTGTTGTATAAATTGCCCTCCATAACTTCATCTCTGTAATAATCTCAAATTCGAAGGTCAAAACAATATCTTGACATATCTCGGCCACTCAGTTCTTCTTTCCACGGGCTCAACGTTGCTGTCTTTATCACTAAGCTTGTTTAGCACACGATACTTATAAGGCAAAAGAAAGGCTCGTCGTCCCAGACTTTCGTGGCGATGTCGATGAAGACTTTCTCGCCCACAGGATTGTGTCCAATTGCATACCAGCAAGCCATTTGAAAGCTTGAAGTGACAAATGTCACTGAGCTGTTACTTGCGTTACTGCACATTGCGGAACAGTGAAGTGTTCCTTTTCCCTCTTTCTGGGAGGATAGAGTCACCCTTGATTTCGATGATGGGTGACTCGTAGAATTATAACTATAATTCATTGGTTTTTCATCTTCCCAGAGCTCTCCTAGTGAATCCCACCGCACCAAAGCATGTTGCCTTGGACACGATGCCAGTGCTTATCGCAGACATCGCAGGGCGGAAGCTTTGGGAGATCTCTACAGTGGTTTCTGAGTAGACGGCGCAAACCCCAGATGTCTCTTAGATGCGAGTCCATATAAACCACTTAAACCACCTTGTGGGGATTGTGCCATCTACCCTCAATCCACTTTAAACCTGAAATCAATCCAGTCGAAACGGCCTGCCTGAGGCTGCATGGGCTGATAACAAGGTGTCGCCAGTGGCTGGGGCCTCGTCTGGTGAGAAGAGGAGATACATTCGTGGGAATACGTCTGCTATATTGTCCTAAACAGTGATGAACATAGATCGGGCACCCAGCTTCTTCAAAGCAATAATTTTTGGAGTTCCTGTTTGTGACCTGTCAAACCAGGCCTAATTAAGGGACCGAACCAGCCAGGGGATCCTTCGTTCACGAACTGAAGAATCAGGAAGGAGTCCAAGGAGTGCAAACATCAGTCCAAGGAGTCCAAACATCTCTTTGTTCTCATCTACTTCAGGATCGTTTGGTGGAATGGTTGGAACATCACCTTTGATCTCCTTTAAATATCGAACTTGCAGGGTCTAACATCTGCACAGGGATCTTAACATATCTAAACATTGGGTATATATCCCATTCCCTGTAACAGTGGATGCTGGTAAAGGCCTTTCTCCAAAATAGTGAGGATAATAGGACACCCCTAATCTAAACATCTCAATGAGGTTCTGGGGCGAGAAACACATGGTGAAAGGACCCAGGCTGTTTTGGCACTCACCGAGGAACAAGCGGGTTTTAACCGTGGAGATGATCTGATCTTACAAATGTTTGTGAACCTGGCTGAAGTCCAGGCCCCGAGCAATATATATATATGTATACATGAACCCATTTGACCTCTGTTTTGATAGGAAAAGACCATGTTTTGGCTCCAAAACAGAGGTCAATCAGGTTATTCCCCAAACAGTTTACTGTTAGGGGTTCTCAATGCTTTAAAGAATGGTCACCTTGGTGCTGGATGGTCTGGTCGGGTTCCCGGCCGGCTTGTCTCCCACTTCCTTTTATTTGTCTCCCAGTTCTTTTCATTTGTCTCCCAAGCTCGGTGCTTGTGGTCGGAATCGCGGCTGGCTTGTCTCCCACTTCCTTTCATTTGTCTCCCACTTCTTTTCATTTGTCTCCCAGTTCTTTTCCCACTTCCTGTCATATGTCTCCCACTTCTTTTCATGTGTCTCCCAGGCTGGGTGCTTGTGGTCCGGTTCCCGGCTGGCTTGTCTCCCACTTCCTTTCATTTGTCTCGCGCTTCTTTTCATTTGTCCGGCTGGGTCTTGTGGTCGGGTTTGCGGCTGGCTTGTCTCCCACGTGCTTTCATTTGTCTCCCACTTCTTTCATTTGTCCCAGTTCTTTTCATTTGTCTCCCAGTTCTTTTCATTTTTGGTCTCCCAGGCTGGGTGCTTGTGGTCGGGTTCCCGGCTGGCTTGTCTCGCACTTCCTTTCATTTGTCTCCTACTTCTTTTCACTTGTCTCCTTTCCTTTCATTTGTCTCCCAGGCTCGGTGCTTGTGGTTGGGTTCCCGGCCGGCTTGTCTCCCACTTCCTTTCCCACTTCTTTTCATTTGTCTCCCAGTTCTTTTCATTGTCTCCCAGGCTGGGTGCTTGTGGTCGCGGGTTTGCGGCTGGCTTGTCTCCCACTTCCTTTCATTTGTCTCCCACTTCCTTTCATTTGTCTCCCACTTCTTTTCATTTGTCTCCCACTTCTTATCATTTGTCTCCCAGGCTGGGTGCTTGTGGTCGGGTTTCCGGCTGGCTTGTCTCCCACTTCCTTTCATATGTCTCCCACTTCTTTTCATTTGTCTCCCTGGGTGCTTGTGGTCGGGTTTGCGGCTGGCTTGTCTCCCACGTGCTTTCATTTGTCTCCCACTTCTTTCATTTGTCTCCCAGTTCTTTTCATTTGTCTCCCACTTCTTTTCATTCCCCAAACAGTTTACTGTTAGGGGTTCTCAATGCTTTAAAGAATGGTCGCCTTGGTGCTGGATGGTCTGGTCGGGTTCCCAGCCGGCTTGTCTCCCACTTCCTTTGTCTCCCAGTTCTTTTCAGTCGGGGTTCCCGGCTGGCTTGTCTCCCACTTCCTTTCATTTGCCTCCCAATTCTTTTCATTTGTCTCCCAGGCCACTTCCTTTCATTTGTCTCCCACTTCTTTTCATTGTCTCCCAGGCTGGGTGCTTGTGGTCGGGTTCCGGGCCGGCTTGTCTCCCACTTCCTTTCATTTGTCTCGCGCTTCTTTTCATTTGTCTCCCAGGCTGGGTGCTTGTGGTCGGGTTTCCGGCCAGCTTGTCACCCACTTCCTTTCATTTGTCTCCCACTTCTTTTCTGCTTGTGGTCGGGTTCCCGGCCGGCTTGTCTCCCACTTCTTCTTATTTGTCTCCCACTTCTTTTCATTTGTCACCAACTTCTTTTCATTTGTCTCCCAGGCTGGGTGCTTGTGGTCGGGTTCCCGCCCTACACTTGCTTTCATTTGTCTCCCGGTTCTTTTCATTTATCTCCCAGAAATGCTTCATTTGTCTCCCGGGTCCGTCACTGCTGGTGCCATGTAGCATTTCTATTCATTTGTCTTTGTCACTGCTAATTTCCGCCCTTTTCCGCTGGCCACGCAGCATTTCTATTCATTTGTCCCCCAGGCTTGTCACTGGTGGTGTCCGCCCTTTTCCGCTGTTTCTATTCATTTGTCTCCCAGGTCTGTCACTGTTGGTGTCCGCCCTTTTCCGTTGGCCATGTAGCATTTCTATTCATTTGTCTCCCAGGTCTGTCACTGCCAGTGTTTTGTCTCCCAGGTCTGTCACTGCTGGTGTCCGCACTTTTCGTCGGCCATGCAGCATTTCTATTCATTAGTCTCCCAGGTCTGTCACTGTTGGTATCCGCCCTTTTCCGCTGGGCATGCAGCATTTCTATTAATTTGTTTCCCGGGTCTGTCACTGGTGCTGCCGCCCTTTTCCGCTGGCCATGTAGCATTTCTATTCATTTGTCTCCCATGTGATTTCTTTCTTTTTGTCTTTCAGGTTTGGTGCCTGCACTGCTGTTTTCTGCCCTGTCCGCTGGAACAGGTTCGCCTGTGAAAGGTTCTTGCTCCTTTGCAAGGGGTGCGTGACTGTCTCCGGGATTGCATTCCTGCCGCACTGTGTAACTCTCTCAGCTTTGTTTTCCTTCTCGGGCAACCGTTGGATGAATGACCGGATTGGATTTCGGCGGTGTGGCAGCGATCTCTCTATTCAGTTGGGGCGGAGGGCATATGTCAGGCGCCAAAAATCAATTTCATGTCACATCCTTCGCTCCTCATGCTTTTGTTTCTTGTCCTCACGTGGTCAGCTCCCCGCTGACTGAGCAGCATGACCAGCATCATGTTCGCGCTTGAAGAATAATTCCCCAAAAGGTTTACTGTTAGGGCTTCTCACTTCTTTCTTAAGATGTGTCCCCCCGCTCTGTACTGCTGTGTCCGTCTCTGCCTTGCAATCCTTTACATTTATCTCCCAGCTCTGGACGTCGCAAGCTCTAGTTTCGATTTTGAAAACACAAACTGTTTGGGGTCTACGGTGGTGTAATAGTTTATATATATATATTAATATATGTATGTATAGCAAACACCCAGAGTTGTCAAACATCGTGTGTCCCATATGCATCCCAAAGGCGGTCCAGGTTTGGGCCCGTTCCTCCGGAGGAGCGGTCCGGGTGAAATGACCCTCACATGCGGTCCGGGTGAACATGGTGAACTGGACCGAAGCAACACGTAGCAGTTGGTTCGGATCCAGGGTCGCCTCTGGGATGACCGATGACGCGACCCTGGACCCGATACTTCGGGGCCATACCCGGGCCATTGAGGGGGACTCGAACCACCTAATGATGCGTTTGAGGGACCAAGGCCTGTGAACGGAGTGTCTGGGTATACACACATAATTATATATATATACAAAGCTTTCGCTAAACCTTAGCTTTGCAAATCCACCCCATCGACCGAAAAGACCCCAACTGCTTCACTTCAAATAGTAACACTCGTAAGGCTCTTGGCCCACATCCCCAGGTAAGGTGGTTGGGGGTGGGTGGTCTTGGGGAGTCTAACCACCTTATGAGGATTTGGGCCAGGAGCCTTAGGGTACTATCCTTGTCGAAACTGAGATAGGGCCGAGTTGGTGAGTCCCACACATATATGTCACAACATCTTCATCCAAATTCTGCAGGGTTTGAGTCCTTTACACGGGCTCCTGCTGCACATTGTGATATCATTTACCCCATTTACAACCCCATTCGTCTGGTAACTCTTCCAGTCCCATTCGTGTCCGGGAGAACTTCGCAGATCCGACTTTCTGGGGCCAATCCCAGCAGCTGGGAGTCCTTTCTTTTCGCCCCTTCGTGGGAGTTCGGTCCAGTCGGTCCGATAAGGCGTCGTTCTCGCCCAGCTGCGCTGGCGCTGGCTGTGCGAGTCTCAAGCTGCGAATCGCCTCGCTCGCTGAGCGGGGTCGCTGCGCCGGTCCGGTCCGCGGGTCGAGATCGGCAGCGATCGAGATCGGCAGCGCATGCGACCGGAGACGTGGAGACGTGGAGACGAAGCCGGACATGGATGATTTTTCGATGTTTTTCGGAGTGACTGCCCGATGCTTCAGATTGAGACACATCCTCCATCCTGGGAATGTATTGGAAGTGGTGACGTTTCATCGAACCAAAACGATCGACGTATCCCTATAGATCCTCCAACTGTGCCAAATCTCTGTCTTTTGGTTATTACAGAAAACGCATCAATTTGACACCGTGACACGAGATCCAGGTCGATCTGATGCACCTCTCATCCCGACTCTCATCTCGCCCAACTCCTTGCTGCCAGCATGCTTCCGCACCCGAGTTCTCCAATTGCGAGGCCAGCTGCCCCGACAAGGCCTGGAATTGGCGTGGCGGGTCGTGGTGGCACTGCGAGGTTTCCGCGGTGTGGCGGGGAAAGGCACCAACTCGGAGCAGCAACGTGTTGAACAGAAAGAAAAGGGCCTGGACATGGGAAACACATGGAAACAGCGATCCCTTTTGGTAGCGATCCCCAGTTTTCCAATGGTGTCAGACCTGCATGCCTTTCTGAAATGGGCTTCCACTGTGCTGCTTCTTCAGCAGATTCCAGAAGCACCCCATGCAAGTGACCAAGATTGGATTACCCTACTGTAGTATTCCACTCTCGCAAGTGTTCTCCACAAAGATTAGATTACACAATCAGGATACATCTATCCTGCAGAATCCTCCCAGTGATTTCGACTGCCCGGCTGCCAGTCCCGTCCACTGCCACACGAAACAAGCAGTCCAGTTCCAATGCGGCGGATGCACATGCATGTCATGCGATGAGAGCTCCGTTTCAAAACGCCTCTGCTTTCTTCCTGCCGAGCTCCAAAAAGAGCTCGGATGGGCCAACTCCAACTCGGATCGGTTCTTTTCTTGGGGTGCCTGGCTTTCTCTTCCCTTCCCACCTTCCCCCCAGTTCTGGGCACCCCCAACCAGCAAGGAGCCATCACCCATGGGATAGCTGGGTGCAGGGGGCGACACCAACTGGGGCGTCATCGGCATCGGCCTCATCATCGGCCGCGATCGCCACGGCGGACCCGTCGCGGGTGGTTTCGGGAGGTGAACCCCGTGATGCACTCGCAGTGTCACACCAGGAAGACTCAGAAGACTTGCCGAATGTCTGGCCGAATGTCTGGATGTCTGCAGACATCTCTTCGTTGGGCAAGTCCCCAATTCGGTGGCTGGGGCGTGAATCGTCCCGGAGGAACGCTTAGTCATTTCTAGAAAGCAAGCACTTCATAACACATCCCAACAGATGAAGCAACGCGCGTAACTCGCACTTCTGAAGCCCAAGTGGACAAGTTGCAAAGGCGGCAGCACGAGTTCACGCCACTCGGTTTGCATATCATACTATGATTCATACATGTCACCCGGCCACAATTGAGCCACTCATCTGGTCTAATCGCAGCTAAGGCACATACTCCCTTGATATCCCTGCAGGCTCTGATAGGTCACAGGTGCCGCCGTCACGGGTGGGGCGACGCTTGGCTGCCTCGTCGACTCTCCGCAGAACGAGGGGATCCGAGGGGTTTTTCCGTTGCAGTTGCAATTCTCCAGGAACCTGGAAGAAAAAGACACCTTCGGAACTCCCGAAGGGGATGTCACCATAGGGAGTGATTTTGGGGATAGACCGAGGGAGTGAGAGACCATAGGAAAACGTGTCCCCCCAAAATCACACTTTTTCCGCATGGCACCGGGGTGATAGCGGGTGGGACCGTTCCGGGGACGTTGCAAATGAACAAAGGAACCAGTCACCGGACGGCAGGGTGCTGGTCACATGTCGAAAACGAAAAAGTGCACATGAAGGCAAGACGTGACTCACACTGCATCTGGTGTAGCCAAGCTTGGAACATGCACTGCCCAGGGGCAGAAAGCCCAGGTCCGGGCAAACTACGAGCGTTGCGACACGCGGAAAAAACACAGATGGAACAAACACACAAGTGAGCTACTGCCAAAACCTGGTAGAACATGTGGTAAGAAACGGACAACCCTGACCCACAACACCTGAGGAGAAAGGAACCACCCATATATCAATATGTGATCGGTGAACGAAAGAAGCCTTACGCCTTACGTGTTGCAAGTGTTGCAAGATTTTGTACATCAATTACTTCACTTGTCGTTGCCACCCTCCTCAAAATCGCCTTCCAATCAAAATTGATGAACATGGATGCACACCAAACTTGGAGATAATTTTTCAATTTTGTACCAAGACTCTCCTGTGGCACCAGCCGATCATACACAACATCAGGAGCAACACTACCACCTCAGAGTCCCTGGAAAAGGAAGGTTCACCATTTTCCATCTGCTCATATTAAGGGAAATGAATCCTCAAAACAGTTAAAGGGTTATCCTCTGACAGGGTAGGTTCAGGTTCCTTTTGGGCCACCAACACTCGCCCCCCTGCTGCCCAAGCAACGCGGGAATGTGTGGCGCTGGATATGCCATGGGCGGAGGCCTGGGCGGGCGATGCAACTGGACAGGCACCCGCTCCGGAGCTCCCTTCTAACGTAGACTTTTGATTATAGTGGTCCCCAAATAGATAGCAACGGTTTCCAAGACATTTTGAAAGGGGTTTTACTTTTCTATCTATTTGGGGATCTATATAAGCAACAACCCCATATGAAGAGCTTCGAGTGTCCGAGGTTCGTCCGTCCGATACCATCCTGTTTCGTAAGAGAGTCGACCGACGCGACATCCGAATGCCACATGGACATCCGTCCCCACTGCATTGCCACCTCATTGCTGTCGCCAACGGAATCAACTGAGGTCGGCACAGACTGTGCCTAATTAGGTATTTGTTTTGGTTGATGGAGCCATAGAAAAGCCTCTCCTGTCCACGGTGCTTGTTGGTTTCTTAGTGACCTTTAGATCCTTTAGCATCCGGCCGCCCTTTGCAATTCGGTTTCACTTGTTCGTTTGTACATAATTATGGGCTACTTCTATTTTTCGCCACTCCATCATTTTAATTCGTTGTATCCACCCTCACCCGTCATACAACATGACAAGGGGTTGCGTGGACGCGGACAGTCCGCAAGTGCGTGCATCCAAATGTGGAGGGTTGGATTATATAATCAAGAGTTTACATTACCCCAAGCACCAGCTAGTCTAACCGGATAAAGAACACCCTGTAGCTCTTTGCAGCCTGGTTAGAGGGAAGGGACATGTGCTGTAGATTCCTTAACTTTCTCCAAACCACCAGCCAAAGAAGGGCAGCGAGAATCAGGCAACGTGCTTGATGAGGGATAATTATGATCCAAAAGGCTAACCAGGGGATCTGTCCAACCCGCTCCCATGTTTGTCCTTGATGGTCTTGCAATCCATTAAACACTTGGATCAACTCCATCGAACACAAGTGGCAGTTTGTGAACAAACTCTACAAGCAAGTCAGGTCGTGAATTCCTTGTTGCTTTGTGGAATTGAACAGCAGTCCAGCCTGGTTTTCAGGAGATGGGTCAGGATAGTCAAATTGACAGCTGTCAGGTGCTTGCACGAGATCAGCGGTACAAATCTGAAGTCCTTGGGAGGTGGTTAGGTACATGAGCGCTTGATTCAACAAAATTGGTCTTGGCTTTTTGGTTGGAGTTTGAGGCCATTGCTACTAGGGTAGAAGCCCATCACTCGTCCCCACTGTAAACTGGGATCTCAACGGCGGAGCCCGCGGGAAGCTGGCGTTGAAGCTGGACCTCGTGTCGTGGTGGGGAAACCACCACAGCCGCTTTTCGGAGGGTGAGGTCAGGTTGAGGTCAGCTCCCCTGTAAGAGTCAAAGCAGTTCCATGGTGGCTTAATGGATATTATATAGGGGTGCCAACATCCACGCCAACATCTAACCCGTGGTTGATCAGTCTTCTTGCGCGAAGAAGTGTCCAGATTTAAACCCTATCATTCGCTTGGACACAGCAATCACAAACAAGTCGGAAGCTGAACACCCAAACCCCAAACCCCCACCCCACCCCAGCCCAGCCCAGCCGGAGTCATTCTTCCCTACCAACCGCTTTGAGTTAGGAGCTACCATGAGCCTCTAGCACCCATTGCTGGTAGGTGATGTAGTGTGCTTACAAAGAGGCACATCATCATATCATGGTATCCTCATGGTACCGTTCCTGCAAGATCCTGCATGATCCTGCCATGCCAGTGAAGCATGTAAACCCTGATCCGGCTCTTCTCCGACTTTTCTATTGGCTGGCGAAGCTGAAACTGGCTCGCACTTGAGAATAGGACCTCCTCATGGAAATTCGAGAGGTCCAGAATGGCCCATAGCCGACACCGTGCGAAAAGCACTGTGCTACCAAAGCAACATCCATAGCGGATCAGAACTCCTGCGAAATGGCTCTATCATTATCCCCAAACTGGTGCAGGATTTCTTCCTTCAACAGGCAGGTCATTTCATGACCAGGAGTTGTTGTGACGGTGCATGGTGCTCATGGATCACCATCAAGCACACAATGGGTATATTACCAAACCTTGTTTAGATTATATATACATAGTATAAGTGTATTTATGATAGTTACATAATGTTGCACATTTGTGTATACATAAATAACGACGTCTACTATTGCACGATATTCTACAGTGTCTACACTCCGACTCACTAACATGGAAGTGGACAAATCCCCTGTCTGCAAAAGAAGCTAATTAACTAGTCTTCCAACATCTTCCAAAGGTCTATTTTCAGGGTCCTGGTTTGCTTCGGGAGGGTATAGTCTATGACTATGTCTTCCCCTTGTGCCTGTCGAAGTGTTCGCCCTCTGATTTTCGACTGACATGTCTAGGGTCGCCGCTGCCCAGGATACCTGCCGTGGTGCGAGCCACATGATGGGGGACCCTCTTATCAGGATCAAACAGGCTCTAGTCCAATGTCTTGGACGTTTGACATTGTTTGACTCTAGTACACTTGTTACTAGTAGCTTCTTGTTATTAGTAGTAATGCCAGGAGCTACTAGTAGCTTCTTGCTCCTTTCGTAGCGATGCCCCTTGTTACCCAAGCACGACCTCTATGGGACTGGCAAAACACCAACAAAACAAACCTCCGGCTAAATACCCCACGGAAAACTTGATAAACATGGTAGGTTTAGTGTCAGTGTCGGGGGTAGAGTGTCACAAAGCCCCATATTTTGGAGGTGTGCAGGAAACTGGCTACGAAGACAAATGAGAGTCTATAGGCATTGAAACCGATCAAACGGACGGGACCATGCCAAGAGCTTCTTGAAACCTCAACAGGTTTCTCCTGCCCAGGGAGTGGAGGACAGGAGAAAGAACATCAATGCTTTACCTCCCACAACTTCAAGGACATCTCTGACCTATTCCTGGTGCATCTACAAAATAGCCAGATCTTGATGATATTGACTCTTGCCCCTCCGACCCTCTCAGCTCCGACTCTCTCAGCGCTCCCCACTTGGACATGTCCGGCATCTGGATGTCCGTACCCGTCGGCAGGGTCCCCAGGTTTTGCCTCGGACATTGGGGCCCGGGACCGTCAGGAAGACACCGATTGGTCGAAGCCCTTCTCTTTCCACACTTGATCGATTTCTCTCTCGATTTCTCGATCGAAATGGGCTGGGATGCCACGCACATCTCTCCGATCCTTGGATTCACCGGTGAAAGCGGCGTGCAACGCTGGCGAGCTCACGCGGCGCGGCGAGGTTCTCGTGGGAGACCATGGGAGACCGGGTGAGGATCCCATCTTTCACGCTCGTGGGTTGTAAGCAGAAACCTATGGAGGGGTCGAAGCTCCATAGATCCTAAGATCCCCCTTTTGAGTTGATCTAAACCAAGGAAGAGTCCCGATTTCAAGCCCAAAGCTCCTGCAAAGCCATCATGAGCGATGGATCCAATAGAACTGTTTTAATCTAGAACAAATTATGAACCACATAATCAAATGGAAGATGTGACATCCTGCAAACACATACACGAAAATGTCCAACTCAGAATATTTGAGGGACAATACAAACAAACTCAGAAACAACTTCTATGTATATATCTGCAACTTCAACAGTCTCAAACAAAGTATTTTTACTTGGGTTTGGGGTGTCTTCGCCCTTTTCCTCTCGGTCGGACCCAATGCTTCTCTTTGGTCCTCTGTGGACTGCCCAGTGAGTGCTCCAATCCAAACCGTTTGGCCGCTAGGCTGCTGACATCGGAGCCATCGAATGTCCAACCAACGCACTGACGGCCATATGATGGCCATATTTTCTGGCCGATTCCAATTGTCTAAGTGGCCGACTCCAATCAACCGACCCAAATCCAGCTGAGCTTGTTCACCCGCCACGGCCTAACGGTTAGTCGCCAAGTATGATGTACAGTAGACTTTTGATTCCTTCGAAAACACCCGTCGGACATGGATTGTAAAATCTTCAAAAGAGTTTTTCTTCAATATCATGTACTCTTGATGACATATCATTGATTCCTTCTTCGTGTAGATCCGCCCAGCGACATAAGGATCTCGGTGGGCGTTCATGGGCCTGGGTCAGCGACTTCCGTGAATCCGGACATCTCATGACGGGTAGATCCCAGGACCTAAAACTAGATGGTTCGACAGCTCGACTCCCATATGACCACCTTATGTCCTTCCAGAATTCAACCTTTTCCACGGGGATTTGGTCAATTTGGTCACTCCCAGAATTCCAGATGTGGTTCCCACCGTGACATGTGAGCGGTTCTCACCGTGACGGACTCCCATCGTTCAGAACTCCAACGGAGATCATCCTCGAGAGCCACCTGACTCCCACCGTCGAATCGTTGGAGGCGTTGCCAAGGACCAACGAACTTCGCGAACTTCGCTTTCAAAGCTGGTTGGTTCTGTCAAGGTAGAAGCGTAAACATGATCGCTTTCCATGGTCAAGAACATGACTCATTAATTTAACTAGAATCTAAACACCAATGGTTCATGACATGGAAAACAACTGGTCATGTGGTTTTCCATGTTCTTTCTCATTCCTGAACTGTTTGGCCCAATCTCCACTCTGAGGCCAAGCGGCACCTTCAGTGGCTCAGTCTCACTGTCGCCCTGAACACGTGGTTTTGGGCACGCAGACCGCTTGGGCTCAGCGGTTTTGAGTCATGGTGCTTCAGGGAAGCACTGCCAAGGCATTCCCAAACCAACACGTTTCCAGAGTTTTCAGCGTTCTTTTGGGACGCTGATTGGGAGATGTTGAGACTTCAGACTTCCAAAACACCCAGGGATACCCACATTGCCTGACTCTTGTGATGATGAATCTGAATCATGCGACATTCCTGGGTCCCGCCCAAAAATGGTCGGGGATGAGGCTGTTTGAAACATGAAGTCTGTGACGGAAGTTTGTGTATAGAGAACTTAGAGAATACTGTAACTAAATTAAAACGTTCCGAAGGAGGCTGCATTCCATAATTTCTGACATCTGACCACATCTGGCTCCCCCCACAATTGCCACACCCACGCTGCAGGACATGAGGCCTGACGTCCCTCTCGTCCCTCACGTCCCGTCCCTGACGTCCCTCGCGTTCCTCACGTCCCTGACGTCCCCACGCCCCTCACGTCCCTGACGTCCCTCGCGTCCCTGACCTTCCTCGCGCCCCTCACGTCCCTGACGTCCCTCGTGTCCTTTTTTGTTTTTCGCGGTCCTGATGTCCTTGCATTTACTACTACTACTTACTTACTTACTTACTTACTTACTTACTTACATACTTACATACTTACATACTTACATACTTACATACTTACATACTTACATACTTACATACTTAC